TCTTTCGTAAGGGAAACGACTATTCATACGTAACTCGATTTTTTGTTCGATTTGACGAGTGGGTCTCGCGGCGGTGCTCGCCCGGCGTTACCGGCGCGCGACACCCCCGCACCTCGGGTGATCCTCGGGCGGTAATTTCTTCCGCGGGTGCGGGCGAGGTTCGAGCCGCTGATTGAGACGTCTCGTTGAGTTAAAAGCTCGCGCCGAGAGCCAAAGCCCTGGTGAAAAGCTCTGTTTTGCTCTCTCAGGAATCACTTGTTGGCGCGGAGAAGTCGGGAGATCGGGGAAAACCTATGCAGTCGTTTTCTTACAACGAGCCACCTTCTACAAGGTTGCAAGTTCAATCCGATTTCAAATTTTTCTGATTGTTCCCTGACTTTTTGGGATAATTCCCTGATCACTGACTTTGAAATTCCCTGAATTTTCCCTGACTTCTGAATCTACTGAAACTCGGAGATTTCACAATCTTTATAAGGCTTTAGCCCTGAGTCCATTTTGACTTTTCAACCCGCACAGGAAAAAAAAACACATTGGATCTAGAGTCCCGACTCTTAAAAACATCGACAAGAAAAAGTACTCTTGATTCAATTAGAATCTAGCTTAAATCAAGAACCAAGCCTCTTAATTTAAGCGGAATTCGTTTTGATTCAAGCAGAAATCCGATTGAATCAAGAGTATTTTTTCTTGTCAATGTTTTCAAGAGTCTGGACTCTAGACTAGATCCAATGTGTTTTTTTTTCCAGTGCGTCAAAAGTCGGGAAGAATTAGTCTCCCTTTTGCGGCAGAAAATAGAAAATTATCGCCTAAGTTGTTCGATGGTGAGACCTGGGACACCTGAAAATATGGCTGTTGATGACCAGGAGGATATGGATCCGATCGACAAGAGTCGATCAAAAACTAAAAACGTGAACCCATCCATGCACAGCAACTCGATCGACAAATCCAAGATTTGACCAACGAATCCATGATTCGATTGACGATCACAAGAACTGACCGACGAACCCTTACATCGATCGAAAATGGGTACCGTGAGTCGGTCGACTTTTGTCGATTGGTTTTCGATCGATTCTCGTTTTTATTTGGCAATCGAATCCATACCCCCCCCCCCCCCCCCCCCCCCCCCNGGGATTTTGGGAAAAATCTCGGACTTTATCTTGATTTGATTTCGCGCTTAATTTCAACATTTAACGATCTAAGCAAAATACCAACTTCCATGAACGTAGGTGCTTGATTTAAGACAGGCAAAAGATTAAGATTTTCCTTCATTTTCACGTGATACCACATATCTACTCCGGAGTTTGAATAGTTGCGCGCTTGGTGGCCACTTTGACCAGTGTCGATTCATTAAACAACTTCATGCATATTTTCATGAATATTCAAAAATTAAGCAATGTATTAACCTGTTTTGTACAAACATAAGAAATTATACGTAGATACCTAATTTTTATCTTAGGATAGCAGAAAACACGCGATTTTTCCAGCGGGTTATAAATTACGCGTTAATCATATTAAATAAAGCGGCAAGAACGCGATTTCTCCATAGGTATTGACAAAACATAAAAAATACGCATTAATTGATATTGTTAGTGGACTTCGCATAGCTCATCAACGAAAGACTCTAAATTAGTTTTTTGTTAAAAAAGTAAAACAAGAGAATAAATTAGGAGGCCTCTGTTTTCATTACTTACCCAGGCTGATTTTGGGTAAATCAGTACAATTGGATAAATGTTTGCTAGAAGGAGCTACGTTACACGCAAACCCTATGGTCTAAGAACATAGTTTCTTTTAGCATAAAAATTCCAATAATTGGAGGGCCATGATAAAAGCATTTGGTCTGCTAAAATTCATGCATTTGCATTTAAACCTTTGCCCTCAGAAATCACAAGGTACGACACTATCCCACATATAATAGCATTTTGCTCCAATCCCTTTGAAAAATGTGAAACATGCTGTTTACTCAACTCAATATACATTCATATAAATCAATGAAATTTTGTCGTGTAAATTCTATATTGGACGGATTTAATCAAAATCAACCCGTGTGCATCCTCACTGGACTTCAGTTTACAATGCAGGGCTACTTATAATAATTACTCATTTTGGAAACAACATATGTGCTGTTAGTTTCCTCATGCAAATAAGAGATTTTAAAGATGAGCCCAAGATAGGATAGGAGCTCCCAAGTGCAAAATGTATTCCTATTTTCTATCATGTTTTATTTTTTTGTCAGAGAACTAAACGACATACCTAGTGCATTGAAACTTGCGGTGAATTTTCCCTAGATTGAGAGTAATACGGACCTACTTTTTAATATTATTATTCATACATTTATTCACCCATGCCACCTAATGAATGTCTGTTCTGGCCCCAAAAGCTTTACTTTTCCTACCTGCTAATTTATCTACTGAAAATAAAAACTGAACGTAGCCTGGCGATAGAGATATGCGATGGAAAAAAATGAGAATAAGTAGCCACACTTGTACCGCGTAACTTATCAGGCTAATTTCAGGATATCCAATTGACGGACATCAAGAGAACAAATTGTGAGAATTTTCATGATTTACCCTGTCATTTTTTTGTAGAAAATCTAAAACTATAAATTCTTCCTCTCGCTCCATTTTTTTGAAACATCCAAGTTTTCACAACTGAGACATATCAGTATGAGTATAAATAAAAATTAAAGTAGGAATTACCGTGATAAAGAAAACTACTTAAGAACATTGAAGTCCAGAAAAAATAAAGTGTTAAAATTGAAAAAAGAATAATTGATTTTTACATTTTATTTTTCTGGACTTCAATGTTCTAGATATTATTACGTACTTTAATTTTTATTTGTACTCATAATAATATGTCTCAGTTGTGAAAACTTGGATGTTTGAAAGAAATGGAGCGTAAGGAGGGATTTATCATTTTAAGTAGATATTTTAAGTGGGAAAAAATGACATGAAAACCCAGAAAGGGTTTAGTTTTTGGATGCCTTGCGTTACTAGTTTGGAGATAGTTCTACAGCTTTGAAAATAGTCTTCATCAAATAGGTATTTAATTTCTTCATACAAATATTTGCTAGTTCATGTGATGCAAATATTATGCAATGCAGCATCGTAGAAAAACCTCTCACTTTTAAGTAAGAGGGCAGAAAATTGAATAACAGTGAATAAGGTTACTTGCATGGGCACATGCAAATGTTACTCGATAATGCTGTGGGCTACTACGCTGCTGTAAACTAATAGAGGAAATTCCGTTGAAGGGGCAAGATTAGAATACGAAAGCTGATAGAGCAAAAAAATGCGGACCTATCTCAGTTGCCGAATTTAAAATCTTCACTCATTTTTCATTTAGTACAAGGAGACCGAACCAACATCATGACTTGAAATTTTTACGGAACATTCTCAACATACCTAGAGAAGAAACATTACCAAAATTTTCAAGAAATAATGATTAGTAGTTTTCCATGTAGAAAATAAAATATGTCAGGAAGACTACCATTTCGCAGACTGAGATATCGACAGAGTGAGTCGCCTATCACATGACTCGGTTTACGATTCCACAAACTTCCTGTCATACTTCATTTTTTAAACGGAAAACTACTCGACAGCAATTCTTTAAAACTGCCATGATTTTTCTTCTTTATGCCAAGAAAATTCTGCAAAAACTTCAAGGAATGATGTCAATTTTTTCTCCTTAAAGAAAATGCCATAGAGGTGGAGATTTTCAGACACTGTAAACGAGACATGTGATTGCCACCTTACACCATCGATATGCATTTTTGCAGTTTCATCATCATTCTAATGCAGCCTGATAGTTGAAGTTTATGTCCGCACAACAAGAATCGAAAATTGATATATTACACGGCGCAGATAGGGCTGTGTCTTGTCTTATCGTGCCGACATAGCCAGTTAAAGTTTCGACAATCCGGCTGCTGCAAGTTTTAGTGGCATGGCAGCTAACAACGTCTCAGCTCTACCAAAAATTGAGGGCAACAGCAAAGTAATGACTCACTGCAGAACTAGATCAAGCATAACTGCTTTACTGAAGAATGTCAGCCATTTTAAAACCTATGCACCTTCTTAAGCGACCCTACCCACGCACAAACTAGAGGCTTCAAAGAGGCTTATCAATTGAATTGTTGAGAGTTGCTATTCAAAGATTGTCAGCCTGACAATCTTTGAAGGTAAGCAATGTGTCTAGAACACATCATGGATTAGATCTTGGGATTTTCAAGGAATTGCGTGCTGATATGGCTGCAAAATTAAAAGATTACTGTTAGTTTGAGAGCCCCAGTGTGTGAATGGGATGGGCGCTTTAGGTAAAAATAATGCTACCAACAGTAGAAGTAACTTGACTCACCTGATAAATTAGGTTATCCATTTAAAAATTTGAAGATCACATTGCACAGATACCGCACACTATATCCGACACTGAAACGCTGATTTCACTGAACGCGGAGGACCGGGTCACGTTTGATGTTGATTCGAGCGAATCGCATTCGAAGGTAGTGGACGACATTCTGGAGATCTTGAGTGACTTACAAACTAACTTAAAATTACCTACATCTAAAGGGACATCCTAACTAGCATTACAATGATCAGACAGTGCGAACATAGTGGTTTCTAAAACAGTAACCAGGGCAAAAGGTAGGGAGAAAATCAATCAAAACAAGGACCATAACAAAACATATCCTAAGCTTATCTCTGGCACAAGAACGACCTAAATCCTCAATAATTCCGGGGAAATGAAGGAAGTCAGATGTTCATCTCTGTCAACCAAATTAATCATCAATTTCATCATTTATCACATGTGAAAAATGATAAGATCGAAATGTAAACAAACGTAGAGGTTAGTATTTTGCCATGAAGTGCCTTAACCTCAAAACCTAATTCGTAGTTTCAGATAAGAAACTGGTATTTTCGAACATCTGAGGAAAAAAGAACTTCGAATGACAGTGATGAGAAGTGAATTAAAATGGGAGTTGGCGAAATGAATAAAATCGTGGGGCGAACCTCATAAAGATTCGATGGGATGATATTATTTTATGAACAATCTGGAGTCGGGTCGAGCAAGAGCGAGGGATGGCAAGCATTGGCTGAATATAATCAATAATTCCACTTTCCTCGCTTCCGACGGGAAGACAGGAGATTGCGGAGGGAAAACAGGGACGATAGGGAGATATCACGAGAAAATACAACACACAAACCTCGGTAATACGTCGCGAAAAATTAAAATTGACGACGTTTGCGACACATTTTGCTACGAATCACTTGCAAACACTGCGTTGCCGTTTGGTGCGCGCGGGGGGGCCCAGCTGTGGCTCGAGGTGCGCCGCGATTGGCCGGCGCCAGGCATGTTCAGTGCCCGTCCGCGCCTTTCATTGGTCCTCGCTCCGAGGTGGGAAACTTCAGTTTGCAGCACACTCGCTCCGCTCCGATTTAGAGCTTTCCGATTGATGCTTCTTGAACAGATGGCTCTGGCTTTTTTTTAACAATTGCTCACTCGAGCGTATTATCGCCAGAAACGCAGCGCCGTAACGCATCGAAAATTACCGCGGCTATATCTTCCGCTCCGTTTCCCCTGACGTCATCCGCCAAGGACGAGGAAAAAAGCTCATAGAGAAAACAAGGCACCTGTAAACATACTGTAACTGCACTGTGGGCTCTGCTCCATTTATAGGGGGCCGCCCGTAAATACAAACGCTGAAAATCGAATTTTTCAATCCCCCCCCCCCCCCCTGACCG